TATGTGTGTATGTATGTGTATGTATGTGTGTATATTTATGTGTATGTATGTATACTTTTTAAAAATGTACACTTTTTAAAATAATGGCTAAGTTTTTACAGTTTTGGTAGTCTATCCCTAAATCATAATAGGATATTTTAATAAGCCTCCTCCTTTAAAAAACATGTCTACAAAGGACTCAGAACTTACCTTGTTAGTTTTATATTACAGTGTAACAATTATCACAAATTTAACAGCTGAAAACACCACCCATTTATTAAATCACAGTTCGGTAGGTCACAAATCTGGCATGGTTAACTGGGTTTTCTCTCTAGAGCATCACAGGGCTGAAATGAAGATGTTGCCTGGGCTGAGTTCTTGCCTGGAGGTTCTGGGGGAGAAAATGAGCTTTTAAGGTCATTCAGGTGGTGGACAGAATTCCTTAAAGGTGCAGACCCGAAGCCCTCATTTTCTTGCTGACTGTCAGCCAGGCATCACTCTCAGCAGCTAGAGGCTGCTCTCTCATCTTTTCCATGTGGCCCCTTCCATCTTCAGGCAGACAGAGGTACATTGAATTTTCTTGTGATCCACGTCTCTCTGATTTCCTCTTCTGGAACCAGCCAGAGAAAGCACTCTGCTTTAAAAGGGCTGGTGTGGTTCAGTTAGGCCCGTTCAGATAATCTCCCTATCTTTAGGTCAACTGATTAGTAAACTTAATTACATCTGTAAAATCCCTTTTACCATGTAAAGTAAAGTAACATAATCATGGACGTCATCTTAGAATTCTCCCTGCCACATTTACTTTATATAAATCTTCACTGTTATATAGATTCAGTTTTTAGGTTGAATAATGTGACAAATCATTTGAAACATTAAGTGTGAATCATGGTAATGAATGACATTCAAGTTAAATTAGTTTTATTGTGCATGTAACTAAAGAGTTTGTGGTGTTGAAAAATAAATTACTTTTAAAATAAGCCTATAAATGTTTTGATAAGGAACATTGAAAAAGACATGTATTAAAGAGCTACTATAAATGTTCAGTATATTAGTTGGATTTATTTGATTCTGTCAGATGATAGTAAGTAGCATATCTCCTCAGGGTATGCTGTTAATCGTGGTCTTGGTTATGCATTAATACATAAACTCATGGACATTAGAATTCAAAAGCATTGGAAATCATCTGCCTTCCTCCCCCTCCCTTTTTCATAAATGAGGAGCCAGAGACTCAGAGAGGGGATATGACTCAGAGAAGACAATAGATTAGTGGTAGAGTCAGGCCTAGAATACATATGATGCATTTTCTATGCATCAGGCACTGTCTTAAGTGCTTTAGATGCATCGTTTTCCTTAATACAAAAATTCCTACCTCAGTCCTAATCAAGTAGCCATTATTATTATTGTTGTCATTCCAGTTTGAGGAAACTGAATCACAGAGAGGGTATGTAACTTGCTCAGTGTCATCCACCTTGTAAATTGTAGAGTGGAAACTAAAAGAGAAGGAGTTTGACACCAGGACCTGACCCCTTCACTGTGCTCTGCTTTTTCCACCCCAAAAGCTGCTTCTAATAGGGCCTTCCATATGCAGTTACAGCATTAGCATAGTATAATCTCCATAGACAGCTGCACAAGCTCCCCATTTAGTTATATTCTGACAATGAAGTACTGAATAGCAGAAAAATTGGAGCCTGGAAACTGTCTACCAATGCTGGCTCTGTCACTTACTATGTGGCTTCAGGAAATTATGTAATCTTTGGGGTCCTTAGATGCTGTATCTGTAAAATTGGGATTTTTAGCATTGTTATGAAGGGGATACATCTAAGAAGCAGTCTGTAAACAAAAGAATTACATGCTCATTGGTTTATTCATTGACAAATGGTGCTTATTCTCATGACCCTATCATGGCAAATTTTCAAGCGGCTTTAACTGTGATAGAGTCAGACCTTAAATTAAAAACTGTAGATCTTTGACATTGCAGAGGCTGTATTCTGAGATCTTTAAGAATCTCATTTCCTTTCTAAGTTGTATATTTCTTGTATATATCCCCATTCCACATGCTCAAATTTCACTGAAGTTGTATGTCTCTCACTTGATGGCAATTTTTTCACAAGGGCACTATTTACAGGAAACTAACATTAAAGCTACATGGAGAGAGATACTTGTTCAAAATTGCATTATTTCTTGTTTTGGATTTTTTTGTTGTTGTTGTTGTTTTTTATTTTGAGACAGAGTCTTGCTCTGTCACCCACGCTAGAGTGCAGTGGTGCAATTTCAGCTCACTGCAACCTCTCCTTCCTGAGTTCAAGTGATTCTCCTGCCTCAGCCTCTTAAGTAGATGGGATTGCAGGTATGTGCCACTACGCCCAGATAATTTTTGTATTTTTATTAGAGACACAGGGTTTCACCATGTTGGTCAGGCTGATCTCAAACTCCTGGCCTCAGCCTCCCAGAGTGCTGGGATTACAGTTGTGAGCCATTGCATCCAGCCTACTTTTTGATATAGTTATTTGAGGACCACTCAAATGAAATCATAAATATTAACTTCATGAATACCAGGATGTACTCTGAATCCTCATTCTTTCATTTCTCCTTAACATTCTCCCTCATTTTAAAAAACATATATGTGCAGTTTGGGGTTGGGTTGGGGGCTGGGTTGTTGTTTGTTTTGTTTTGTTTTTTTCTACACCATTTGAAAGTAAATTGCAGGTAGTATAACATTTCAGGTCTAAATAATTTAGCATCTATCTCCTAATAAGAAAATTCTTTATAATACGTGCCATCTATTATCCACCTTAAACAATAGCAATTTTTAACCTCATCTAATGTCAAATGCATATTCAGATTTTCCTTAACTTGTCCTAAAATTACTTTTATACTGTTTTGCATATGGGGCTTCTTGTTTTGCTTTCCCAAACAAGAAGTTCAAATACACTCGTAGCATTTGATGGTTAAATTTCTTCAATATATTTTAACCCAGAACAATTCCTTACCTTATTTCTTTGTTTTCATGATGTTAACTTCTTTTAAGAGACTAGGTCAACTCTTTTGAACAATATTCCGTGTTCTGGATTTCTCTGATTATTTTGTGTATGTGTCTGTCACATATCTTGTTATTCCATCACCTGTTTTTCACAACTTGAAATTGGCTTCAGAGACCTGATTAGAAACAGGTTGCATGTTTTTGTCTAGAACAACTTGACAAGTGATACAGTATATTTTATATCCAGAGGTGCATGATTGTCCTCTCTTAGTGCTGCTAACTTTGATCACTTGATTAAGATGGTGGCAGCCTGGTCTCCCAGTGTTAAAGTACTTTTTTTTCCCTTTAACAATTAGAATAATTTATGGAACAATTATTTGGCTCATATGAGTATCCTTTTCACAATGTTTCATCTAATGGTGTTAGCCTCCATTGATGAGCCTTGCTTATATCATTTGTTCCAATGGAGGTTGCAAATTGGTAATTTTAAAATTGTATTCCTTTGATATTTATTAATACTCTACTGTAAAGATCTTTCCCTCATTAATAGGGATGCTTTGTATCTTCTTACAGCTCATATCAGTAAAACATGTTTACTATCAGTTATCTAAAATATCAGCCTTACATTATAGAACTGAGTTATAGACCCGTCATAATTTATATTTTATATGTACCTAAAGCATTTTGGTGTACATTAATGTTGGAAGTAGAGAATGGATGAAATTTAAAGCAGTATTTCAAAATCCTAAGTGCCTATAAGAGACTTGGTGAAAAGAGATTTCAACAAATCATTTGCAATATCAGCAAATATTTATAGACCTAAAAAGAACTTATTAATAACAAGCACTAATAGAGCTAACTATATGGTTGTATCCCAAAAAACTGTTAATACACACAGTGTGGATAAATATTTAAGCCTGACAAGAAGTAATCGCATACAAATCATTTGGACTATCACCGCCTGGTTCCAGCTTTGGTAGTCTCTCAGCTTCGCATCTCAAGACTCATAGCTTTCATAATTTGGACTCAGTTTTTTGTGGAACCCGCTCCCCCGTGACTTTACATGTGCTTTGGTCATTGCACCTCCCTTAAATGCACATGGTAATCCTTATCTTTGCACTTTGCCCATGCTGTTTCTCTTGCTTAAGCAGCTCTCTTCTCACCTCTCCTTAAGTCCCAATCTGCCTATATTTCATGCCCAGCTCAAATCCCACGCCTTCTATGAAGTGCCTTCTTCCCTGACCTCTCTAGACAGTACTTCCTATCTCTGTCACATCTGTAGTACTTGACTCAGTTTCATGTTGGGTCTTCTAATTGGCTTCTTCACATCACCCAACTATTAAAGACCCTTGAGGACATGACTATCTATGAACAAAAAATGAAAATCTCTTTTCACATGATTTTGCTGGGTTTTTGCATTCCCCTTTAAAAATCTTCCTGAAAGTTACCAATAGATGTGAAACTGTTAGCAAAGTAGGCTTTCTCCTTTGTATAGATTCTTTTTCCTTCTAATATCTGTCACCCTACAAAAACAGACTTTCTTATGAAAGTTAAGGCTGGAATTTGAGGATTACTCCCCATCTGTTTCTTTGTTAATTGTGTGAAGGCCTGGTTCTTTTACTGTGATTAAAAGAAAGGTTAAAATATGGTAAGCAGAAATTAATCTGGCATTTAAATATGCAATGAAAACAAAAAGGCATAAATTAACCTGGCATTTAAGTATTACAATGAAAATAAAGCTTATTTTATTTTCCTTAGGTTGAATCTTTTTGTTTCTTATGTTAACAATTTGAACACTGTTTCAAATGGAAATAAAACAATGGTGTTTTGTGCTTCTTACAGATTTTTTAGAAAGTCTACATCCCACTCAACATGACATTGTTTAAAATTGTTTTAAATACCTTTTCTTTCTATCTCCTTAATAAGAGCACTTTGTATTTACACAGATCTTTGCATCTGATGATCTCAGAGCTTGGCTGATATTTCTTGTTACCAGATAGTGATGACAAAGCTGTTACACTTTTTGTTTCTATCTCTGCAGAAGCAGGAGGTAAAAAACTAAGGAGCACTGTCCAGAGAAGTACAGAAACAGGCCTGGCCGTGGAGATGAGGAACTGGATGACTCGACAGGCAAGCCGAGAGTCTACAGATGGCAGCATGAACAGCTACAGCTCAGAAGGAAAGTGAGTGAGGCACATAGGATGTATGTCTCCTCCATCCCTCACCTATCTCACTCTCTGTGCTTTCACAGAGATTTTCTAACTCTCATGCTCTTCAGAGCCATTTTAATTTCTGCTAGCTGATTTCCTGTGAAGAGAACTTTACTCACCTGCCACTGAGCAATGTGATGTATCTGGCTTTTTATACCAAGTGAAATAGGTTTGGGATGTTTTGCCTTAATGGCAAGATGCTAAAATGTGACTCTTATAATACAATGCAAATAAAATATTTTGCCCTAGCTTGAAATAGTATATAAAAGCCCAAAAATAATAAGCATGCATGCCATACATATCATGTGAACAATGCTAGTGTTAAGAATCCACATCCTAAGAGTTATTGCTAAAAAATATGGAATACTGGCATATACTTAGTTCCATCTTGTAACAAACAATTATAATTATTTAATTATATTAAATATAACAGCCAAAAAGAAATGCTACCAAAAATGTTGGGGAGCCTTTTACATAGTTATCATGTAGCTTTCCTTTGAATCAACGGTCTCAGATATTTTTAAAGCGTTTGTAGCTTGTGTAATCCTGTCACCAAAAAATTAATAGTACTTAGCAACTAAAGATCTGGAAGTGGGGCTGTAAAGGACATTAATAGGGGCAATTGGGTTTTACTGACCTCACTGTCATCACCTTGGAAGCATTAGATGTTTAGATAACCTGTGTGTGGACAGTTCACAGATGTGAGGCCATAGGAGCTGTTGGCATAGCATGGATGGTATGTCTAAGGATAATTTGTCTAGCATGATAACATAAATACTAGAGGTGTAAATGGTTTCCATACATTTATAAGTAGGATTATATGGGATACTTACAGAAACAGACTAAAACATTTGTATTAACTGAATATTTGAGAGTTGAGGTCAGGGGGAGAAATAGATTCACTGTTCATTAAGGAAGCCTAAAAAGACAGGGAAAATCAACTGAAAAGTAAATGTGCACTGACCACTAATTGTTGCAAAGAACTACGCCAGATACTGTTAGGGACAGTATTTAAAAATGTTTAAACTATAGCTCCTGCTCCAGATGTTTATAGTCATATTGGAAAAAGAGGATGAGTATCATAAATTCATTAAACAAATATTACCATACCTTCCAGTGGGCCAGTCACTGTGCTGTAACACTGGGGATATAAGTCACAGGAGGGAGGGAGTAAATATCCACGGCGAAGACCATGGGCTTTGCAATCTACATAGGCCCAGTGCTCTCATCAGGTCTTTTCTTTCTTTTTTCTTTTCCATTTGCCTTTTTTTTTTTCGCCTTTCCTTTTGCCTTTCCTTTCCCTTCCCCTTTCCTTTCTCCTTTCCTTTTCTTTCACCTTTCCTTTCCTTTTGCCTTTCCTCCCCTCTGCCCTCCCCTTCCCTCCTCTCCTTCTATACAATATTCCAGGCATGGTTCTAGGTACTAGAGATACAGTGATAAACAAAAAGACCCCCCCTCCCACCCCAAAAAACTACTCGTATCACATTTACACTCTAATAAAGAAGATAAATAATAAATAAGAAAAATTGTTAAAATGTATATAAAAGAAAAACTAATAAAATGTATAGTAGATTAGACAGTATACGAGCTAAGGAGAAAAATAAAGCAAAGAAGAGAGATGATCAAAAGGGTGGAGGTAGGATTTGATGCAGGCTAGATGGGGAAAGGAGGTATTTCAGTGAAGATCTGAAGGAAGTTAGTGAGCAGAGGGATATCTGAAGGAAGAACATTCTAGAATGAAGATTGCTTCAGACACCCTGAGGCAGGAGCTGACCTGGGGGTCAGCAGTGAGGAGGGAAGCACTGGTGAGGAAGGATGAGAGCAGTGACGGATGAGGAATTAGGGTGTGTGGCTGGGTGGGGGGGCACACCTTATATAGGCTTTATGTATTGTAACGACTTTCCTTTTACTGAGTGAGATGAGAAGTCTTGGATGGTTTTGAGCAGAGGAGTGACAGGATCTGACTTTTGTTTTGGCAGATCAGCCTGAGTGCTGAGGGGGCAGGGGACTAGGACAGCAAAGACAGCAACAGGGAGACCACTCACAAGGCTGCTGCAGGAACACAGAAGCTAGGGAATGGTGGCTTGGACCAGACTGTAGCATTAGTGAGGTCAGATTCTTAATGTATTCTGACAGTACAGCAAGTAAGATTTACTGATGCATTTGATGTAAGTAATAAGAGAAAAGAGAGTATATTTGTTTGCCAGGATTTCCATAACAAAATGCCACAGGCTGGGTGCCTTAAACAACAGGAATTTATTTTCTCACAGATCAGTAGGCTAGAAGTCCAAGATCAACTTGTCAGCAGCTTTGAGTTCCTCTGAGGCTTTTCTCCTTGGCTTGCAGATAGACACCTTCTTGTGGTGTCTTCTCACGGCTTTTTCTCTGTGCGTACCTACTCCTGGTGTCTCTTCCTCTTCTTAGAAGGATATGAGTCATATTGGATCAGTGCTCCACACTAATGGCCTCATTTAACCTTCTCACTTTAAAGGCCCTATGGCCAAATACAAACATATTGAGGGTTAGGGCTTCAACATAAGAATTTTGGAGTGACATGATTCAGTCCATAACAGAGAGGAAGGAAGAAGGATGGCTCCAAGGTCAAGCAGTTGGAAGAATGAAGAGTGAAGTTGCCATTTATCAAGATGGGAATCTTTTGACAGGATCAGAGTTTGGATTTTTTGTTAATATGTTTGCAGCGGGGGGACAGGAGCATGGGGAGAGTCCGTTTTAGACAATTTGAGTTTCAGGTGCCTATTACATATCCAAGCAGATATGTAGACTAAGCAGTTGGAACATAGGTCTGTGACCCAAGGGAGAGATCCAAGCTGGAGATGCCAATCTAGGCAATAGCATCGTAGATGGCATTTAAAACCATGCAACTGGATGAGATTACCAAGGGAATTCAGACATAGAAAAAAGAAAAAAGGTGTAAGAATGGAGCTCCAGTGTTTAGTGCCAGAACTAGCAGAGTAGGTTAAGGCTGAGTGGCAGAAGAGAAAAGCGGGAAACTAGGGGACTGGAAGCCAGGAGACTGGAGCAAGCAGAAAGCACTGGAGACAGTGTTTCAATGAGGAGGGGACAAGGTCAATTGTGTCAAATGATCAGAGAATTTTAGTGGAGTGGTGACAATGAAAACATGATTAGACTTTCAAAAGAGAATGAGAGGAAAGGAATTGAAGACAGCACATACAGACAAGTATTTCCAGGAGATAAATGCGGTAGTAGCTGGAGAGGGAAATGGGGTCAGGAAAGGGATTTTTTTTTCTATATGGTGAAAGAAATAACAGCATATTTGTATGCAGATGAGAATGATCCAGAGACATTTCTTCAACTTTGAAATGGGAGAAATAATAGACTCTATCATAGTGCAGCTAGAGGATTAATATGATAAAGCCTGTGATGGAGGAAGCGCTCAATATGTGCTCAGTGTTACTCATAGAAATCACAGCCTGACCTTCAGACCAAGGAAGAGAGAGGCTCACCAGCAGAAGCCTGCAGCACAGTGACAAGTGCTTCTGGTGTCATACATGGGCTGCTGAGAATACAGAGGAAGAGCCCTGGGAGGTGGAGCGGGGTGTTTGGATCCAGTAAATATAAGCGGCAAAATAATAGGACTGACTCTCTTGCCACAGTAATAAGGCCAGACTGAAACTTGAGCTTACCTGAAAATAAGTAGGGGCTGGGGATTTAATGTCATATGTTATTTTGCTCTCAGTCTGATCTTCCCTGGTGTTCGCTTGGCCTCTGATAGCCAGTTCAGCGATTTTCTAGACGGCCTTGGCCCTGCTCAGCTAGTGGGACGCCAGACTCTGGCTACACCTGCAATGGGTAAGAATTTCTGTCACGTGATTTAACTATTTTCTTTTAAATTATTGAAAATGAAATTCTCTAAATTTCATAGAATGTTTTTTTCTCTCTCTCCCTCCCTCCCTCTTTTATATTTTTTTATTTTTCGAGACAGAGTTTCTCTCTGTTGCCCAGGCTGGAGTGCAGTGGTATGATTACAGTTCACTGCAGCCTCCACCACCTTGGCTCAAGAAATCCTCCCACCTTATCTTCCCAAGTAGCTGGGACTGCAGCCATACACCACCACTGGCGTCAAATATTTTGACTTTTTTTGTAGAGACAAGGCCTCACTATTCTGACCAAGCTGGTCTCAAACTCCTGGCCTCAAGCAATCCTCCTGCCTCCCGTCCCCAGGTGCTAGGATTACAGGCATCAGCCACTGGGCTCGGCCCAGTGGAATCTTTAACAGTATTATCAGCAGGAATCAAGAGCTTAGATTTTAACAATAAAAAATATTTAACCATTATTTCTCTTTTAATTTGAATGCTTTTTAAAGGAAGATATCATTGATAGAATCTTAAGTATATTTGAATTTAAGAAAATATGTGGGAAATGATGAAATGATGTTAAACCAAGGTCTTTGACTCAGGCAATTTCCTTAGTGCCTTTGTATATTTAAAGAACATTTGTTTCTTCCTCCTTCCATTAGGTGACATTCAGGTAGGAATGATGGACAAAAAGGGACAGTTGGAGGTGGAAATCATCCGGGCCCGTGGCCTTGTTGTAAAACCAGGTTCCAAGACACTGCCAGGTAAAAACAAAAGAGATTTTTCTATTATTGTACATAATCCATACTGTTTCAATTTAGAGACCTTTGGATTGGTTTGACCTTTGATTTAGTTAATCAAGGTTACTAATGGATGAGTCCATTATGACTGATTTGGGGCAGCAGTCATTTGTGTGTTTATCCTGAATGAGTGTTCAGTGAGGATGATCTGGTGGGGATAATGTAAGTTTTTTTTTTTTTTTTTTTTTTTTTTTTTTTTTTTTTTTGAGATGGAGTCTCGCTCTGTCACCAGGCTGGAGTGCAGTGGCGCAATCTCGGCTCACTGCAACCTCCGCCTCCTGGGTTCAAGCGATTCTTCCGTCTCAGCCTCCCAAGTAGCTGGGACTACAGGCGCGTGCCATCACACCCGGCTAATTTTTGTATTTTTAGTAGAGACGGGGTTTCATCATGGTGAGAATGGTCTCAATCTCTTGACCTCGTGATCCGCCCGCTTCGGCCTCCCAAAGTGCTGGGATTACAGGCGTGTAAGTTCTTAAATAAGTAGAAACCACTGCAAAAAAAAAAAAACACCACACTTAGATAATTCATTTTGTCACACCATGTATGCAAGGAGTTCTTTTTTCTTATTAGCTAGTGTTTTGTGTTATTTCAATTTCTCTAGAGCTTCAAAATTCTCCTCAGGAATTCATAAGACTCTGGAATTAGAGTAAAAATAGATACAGCCTCCAAGACTAGCATAAGCTATATATGCTGGATATTCTAATTCTAAGACTTTTACTTCCTATAATCTGAGGAAAGAATGGCACTATTATAACTTCTTATGCTCCATATTTCATACTGAAATGTCATTATAATCTAAGGTACTTGAAGCCATGGAAAGTGCCACCGTGCTCCAAATGCATTGTGGAGAGTGTTTTGACAAGCTAGGCTCAGCATCTCTACTGATTGACTTGTAATTTTGAGTCTTAACTTTTCTATCCTTGTAGAAATTTTAAATTATAATATATAATCTATTGTATAACCTTGCACTGGTGATTAAGATAGTTGTGTTTATACACGTCTTACAGCTAGCCAATTCATTCTGCTATAAAGAATATTCATTTGTACATGCATGAAAACAGTTTTTATGAAGTGTCTCTTGGATAAATTTTAAGCCATAGATTTTCTGATTAGTTGCTTCTTAGCTAATTTGATCATATCACATGAAATTCCACTACTGTTATACCCACACCACCACCAATAAATAAATACTTTTGAGTGATAATCACTATTTGTGGGGATGGGTGAATGAAACAATATAGCTTCAAGCATGTTAAATAGATTTAAGCAGTGATAAATTAAAGACCGAGTAGGACATCTCTCTTGAATATTGTTAAGGACTGGAAGCACTTCACTTGTTTAATGCAGTGTGTAAATCTATATAACAAGTTGATGAAAAAAATGATAATAAACTCAGAGGCTATGTTGACATCCCATAAAACTTTCTGAAAGACACAGTTAACCACTGTTTGTTTAATGATTTTGGCAGAATGCGGCTAGGCCAGTGGCATGATTGCTAGCTTTTTCAGCTGAAGATATTAAATATCACCTGGAGTTGGGCACTTCATGTCCGTAACTCATCGCTTATTCTCCTTTATGTTTTCTTTCCCAAGCACCGTATGTAAAGGTGTATCTATTGGATAATGGAGTCTGCATAGCCAAAAAGAAAACAAAAGTGGCAAGAAAAACGCTGGAACCCCTTTACCAGCAGCTATTATCTTTCGAAGAGAGCCCACAAGGAAAAGTTCTACAGGTATCGACTTGTTTATCCCTTACCTAAGAAAGTGTTTTTCGTGGAATCAGACATTATACCCCAAATCTTTTCTGTTGTATTATTTTATGTTCCTCGCAACTGAAATTCTTTGGAAACTTTTCAAAGCAGTGGCCAGTGCTATAAAACAATATACATTGTCATTTTCTTTAAAGTGATTTATAGATGTGCAAATCCCCACCACACATAAATTCCAGTCTCTGGATTTCTTATGACCTTAATGCTTCAGTACAATTCTCCCAATGTACCTTTAGATTCCACTAGTTAAAGACAACTATTCCATTAATCAAATACAGATTTTAATTGGATCTTTGATGTCAGAAAATTAACTGAATGTACTTTAGTATTTAAATATATTTCACAATTTTTTCTTATGTACACAGTTACACTGACATCACTCTACTTTTTATTTTGCCAACAGATCATCGTCTGGGGAGATTATGGCCGCATGGATCACAAATCTTTTATGGGAGTGGCCCAGATACTTTTAGATGAACTAGAGCTATCCAATATGGTGATCGGATGGTTCAAACTTTTCCCTCCGTCCTCCCTAGTAGATCCAACCTTGGCCCCTCTGACAAGAAGAGCTTCCCAATCATCTCTGGAAAGTTCAACTGGACCTTCTTACTCTCGTTCATAGCAGCTGTAAAACTGTTGTCACAGCAACCAGCGTTACAAAAAAAAAATAATAATAATAAAAAATCACGGGTTGCAAACCCTGGTAACACTGCATGCTTAATGTTGTGTCTTCTGAGCCTGTTTCTAGGGATACAAAGCGATCCTGTGTTCTCAGAGGAAGTTGCACACATTGTGCCCTAAAGAAGGCGCTCAGGTGAAAGAGCAGAGCTGTGAAGAACTATCAGGTTTGGAATTCAATGATGCTGGAGTTCTGGTCCAATCTGAAGCCATGGATTAATCTCAAAGAATCAGTCAGTTTCATGCAACAGAAGCCCTTTTCAATGGCACCTTTATATTTTTATCGTTCCTTTTTCTTCATTTATCTGATCCCAAAGCCCTGATATGCCACAGAAATGGAGCTATACAACCATGAAGCCGTGTTACAGGTCAAGGAGTGAAATCCTAGGAAGCATCAGGTGAAAAGCTGAAGACCAAAGAAGTGGTTAGGAACAATTGTCAGCCCTCCTCTGGCCAGGGATCGGAGCAGTCAGTCCAGCAGGGAGAGCGGTAGACTCTGTAGCTCCACGGGCACGTCATTTACTAATGCCAATACGTGTTGGACTCTGAAAAACAAAATTCTGTGGCTACACTGTACTGAATGAAATTAGAGAAACTTTTTTTGCATGGACACAGATTAGCTGAATACTTAAATTATTTTCTTGGGGCTGCAACTTGCAAAAAAAAAAAAAGAATAAAAATCAGCCATTTTCAACAATTTATATTATTTTTAAAAATAAATTTCACTAGTGCATGGTTTTAAAAAGGAGAGAGAATGCAACAGGGTGATACAAAGATACACCATGTTTATTCTTTAATCATAGTCTGTGTTTTGGCAGACATTACAAATGGAAATACTTTCTAGAAGATACTTAAAATTCTCTTTATGTGACAAATAAGCATAATATATTCAATTTATTTCCATGTTAAGTATACAAATCTTATGAAGTTCAATATGTGAAAATTTTTCACATCTTCTCTCAGTTTTCTTCTTCTCCCTCTTTTAATCTTTTCTTTCTCCCTGCCAGAGTGAACCTTATACTAAAAACATTACAAGTTTTGATCTGATCCTCTCTTAAACCCCATGTTTGATTCAGAGCTGTAGATGCCTCTGAATTTGTGAATTTCTCAAGGGAAAAATAACTTTAAGAGCTTTCTTTATTTCAAGCATGTTGAAAAGGATTTTGCAACATGACTTGGGAATCCATAAAAGTAAGTCAGCATGTATTTGACAAAGAAGATATTTGAACTTTTGCAGTTTATTGTACAGCGCATGGTAATTTTTTTTCACCTTTAAAATTCAGTTTACAGGAAAATTCTAAAATCATGTGGCCATTGTAATGTCTAATAAGTTTGTTTTTAGCACCAGCATTATTCATACAGGGGTTAAAGTATTATTTGTAGAAGGTCTTAGGTTTTGTTTGTTTTTTAATTAGTTAAAGCAATTTCTTTAGCCAGTTCCCATTTACTATGTGAATAGAAACACTGCTAAAAATTGGAAACCCTGAAACACAGAACTGTTTATTAATTCATTTTTTCTGTAGTAAAATTCAATTTTTCACAAATTATATTTCTAAAATATAGTAAACATAAATTTGCAACGAACAATTTTAAAGCTCCAATTTTTAGGTGACTCAAAGAAAGTCAGTATGCCTATTAATAGTTATTTGATGCCATCACCAAAAGTCTACATGAAAATCTCCTAAAGTCAAAACCCCTGCCTTTGGTTTTACAGACAGTCATTACCATTGGGTGGTGCTGCAAGGTCAAATTTCTACTAAGTTCCCCTATTTAGAGGAAGAGTCACTAGTTATTGTAATAAACCACCCATGGTTCTTTCTGTAACTTTGATAATACATTATAATAGTTTGATTTTAATTTTTTGCATTAATTTTTGAAATCCACATACATCTCATTTGTTTAAATTAAGGCCATGCACAAGTTTTTTTTTTTTTTTTAATTCAGTGCTGACCATTAAAAACTATCATGCTTGATACGGTGCAAAAGTTAAAATGAGTATCATCACTAAAAATGCCTTCTCTTTATGTGGTGCAATACGAAATACACCGAGACCGTGTCTTGACATTCTGATGGACCCAGGTAATGTTGTTAAAAGAACAAATAAAACTTTATTAAAATAATTTAGACACCTGCGTACCAGCAACAATTGATTTAATAGACTTACAGTGTCTATACTATCCCTTAGAATAAACGTTTTTTTCCTTATACTAACATGCAGTCACATAATCTTTTGTGCATATTCCTATACAAATTATTTCTAATTTTAATAAGAAGGACATGACTGTATGGAATATTTGTACATACTTGTCATTATGCAGTATTTATTTAAAAGTTGGTGTTTTGTTTTTTTGTTTGTTTTAATTTTCACATCTGCACCTTGACTTGTGGTTTAGTCATGTAACCAACACTATGCCAGTGACTGTTGTTGGCCTGCATATAGTATGTTTGAAAGTAAAGGGAATTCCAGTTGGAAAAGAAGGGCAGATTAGTCCTGTAATGAACACCAATTAATGTAAATCAAATTCATTCTGGTGATGGTATTTAACACTTTAAATAAAACATTTTCTTTACAGACGTCTGCAGTGCTTTCTCTGACTTTTCTCCCCATTAAGCCCTGAGCCTTCTGCAGCTCATTCCCTGAACTCGTGTATCATTTATAGACAACGAAACCACCGTCTCCTACTTCTCGATAACATAGGTGGACTGCTGGTCTTAGCAATAGCCCTCAGTAGAGCATTCCTTTAAATGCGAAAGGATTTCTGCTCACAGTATTAAAAGGTGCTATTTTTTAAAAGGTTGTTATTTTGGATTGAGTTGCTTTCTGATTAAAGGACTCAGCAATTCACAGATTTTATGAGTGAGTGAAATTTCTAAGTTAGTCATGGCTGTCACCGACAGCAGAGTCACAAATATCCAGGCACAGGCTCTGCTAGTCCCTGGGTGAAGATGGCGAAGGCATAGCTGGCTTTGTGCAGCATATGTGTTTCTGCTAAAGTGTCAGTTTTGCTTTGTGGGGGGTAGAGGATATGTTATCGGGGTGGGGAGACACGTGTGGTAACCTGACATATAGCATCCTGTCCAGAGACTGGCTTCTATGTGTGGATATGAATGGGTGAGAGGATTTCTCCATATCCTTCTAGGGCAGTTCCTCAACTGGGATAAGGTGAACCCCTGCAAAATTCTCATGGGAGTCTGCCTAGGGTTCTAAACTTAAGAGCTAGTTTGGATTCACATTTATTTACTCTAACTAAAAGCTAAGTCTAGCTGTCTTTCCATTCTTGGAAACAATCATTTCCTCCATTTCCGAAGACTCAATTCCAGTCCGTTTTCCCATACCTATCCCATATTTTTTCCCTTTATTTCATATATACCCTCTACTGCAGTGAATTGTTTCTTTGCTGTTCATACAGTCCTGTAATAAAAATTCCCTTCCCTTTCTTATGTGCCCTCTCTTGAAAAGCCCTTCTACTTTTCTCAGTCATGATCCATGCAGGTCCCCTCTTGCAACTCCCAGCTCATGACTAAGCTCTTGACTAAACCCTAAAAACACCGCTGCTATTGACGCCAACATCTTCACCTTCCCAGGGACTTGAGATGCCAAAGCTCCATAGGCGACAATAAAGGATATGATGGTCTTGTAGGGGCTATGATGGAATTAGGCAAGAGATCACGAAAGCTGTCTGCCTACTATTGATGTAACACTTGATACTCTGTAACACTTGATACCTCAGAGCACATAAAAATCATGTGCTCAACGTGTTTGTCTCAACTCAGCTTGTGGTGCCTCAGTGTTCTGTGGGCATTTATGCACTGAAGAAACAAGTTTACACACCCACCTCTGGATTGTGACATGTGAATTGAGAAATATTATGCAAGGGGGAATTTTTTTAAGTGAACAAACAAAAAATCTGTGCCACTCAAATCTTCCCATATGCCCTTACTCAGGCCACTTAATCTCTAGGGCATTCATTTCCTCACCTGGAAAATATGGAGCTTGAGGTAGATTCTCATCTATCATTAAATCTACATTTTAAAATGTAAGCTCCTTCAGAGCACAGACCATATCTTCAGTATCAGAAACAATGTTTGACGGATAGATGCTCAATAAATATCTGTCCGATGAAGGTTTATTTAGTCCTTGCTTTTTATGAGGCACTATTTCAGGCATAGTAGTGAACAAAACAAACATTAGCCTTGTCCTCATGGGGCTTTCATTCTTCCAAAGACACATTGGGTAAACAATTACAAGTGTGATGACGTTCCTAAAGTGAAGCCCCCAGAATGCTACAGGAGTATACAGCAAAGTGTTTCAACCCAGTCTACGCATTTAGGGAAAGCTTATATCTAAAAAAAAAAAAAAAAAAAAAAAAAAAAAAAAGCTTGGGCAAAAAAAAAAAAAAAAAAAAAAAAAAAAAAAAAAAAAAACGAACGGGAGTTAAATAGAAATAGAAGGAGATGGCAGTGGGAAGAAAGGGTGAGATGAAGACTGTCAGGCAGAGAGAACAACAGGAAAGAAATCTGAGGAAAGGGAATTATTACCACTTGTATTATATTTTAGTGTCTAAAACAGTGATGAGCCCATAAATGAATGAGTTGAATGACTGAATCTTTAAGATTTCTGCATCTGAGGCTGTAAAGCACTAAGTTTTGTTGGGAAGCTAGTTGTGATTTAAACTTGATGTGAAATCTATTTCTAAATGAGATCATTGATAAGGTCTAATCTTTTGTTTCATTATATTTAAAATGGTTCTCAGAATGCTGCTTAGTCCTTAATCCCATTAAATTGTTAGGTCTTTGAACACAGGAATCAAAGGCTACAATTCCATACCCATAGCACCTACCTCAATGCCAAGCACATTATAGGTGCCAGATACCCAGCATTAACAGTGAATGCCTCTCTCAAATATTCTCAGATAGATTATTGTCGGCCAGGCACAGTGTCTCATAGCTGTAATCTCAGCACTTTGGGAGGCCGAGGCGGGCAGATCACCTGAGGCCAGGAGTTTGAGACCAGCCTGGTAACATGGTGAAACCCCGTCTCTACTGAAAATACAAATATTAGCCAGGCATGGTGGTGTGCGCCTGTGGGAGGCTAAGGCACAAGAATCACTTGAACTCAGGAGGCCAAGGTTGCAGTGAGCCAAGATCACGCCACTGCACTCCAACCTGGATAAAGAGCAAGACTGTGTCTCAAAAAAAGAAAAAAAAGATTATTGTCATAAACATGGAAGATTCCTGAGTCCTGAAATTTGTGTACATAGTTTGTATATGGTTACATCAAAAAGACTTTAAACCTGTGGTGTCCTTCATGCCTTTTTAGTGCCAGCTTCCTGTCATCCTGCATTGGGGTAGGGGACACTATTGCTTAGTATCAGCTTTCTTTTCTGGTCCATCAAGATTGTCCCTCTGAGACCTGCCATTCCCCTGGCCCCATATGATGGTGGTGTAGAGGGGGCAGACTCTTAAACTGGGTCAATCTTTACCTTGCCTGTGAAAATATGTTATATTTTTGTTTTATTTTGTTTTGCCTTGATAACAAAGAGGCAGTCCATCTCCAGTGGCAAAAACTATCCCATTGGTGGCGGGGAGGCAGGAGCTTCCAGTGACGATGTTTTCTGACAGATGATCAAAGTTGGTTTACAATAAGAAAGTCAACAAAACCAAGTGGAGGCAAGAAATGAAGAGAGAGTCCTACAGATTCCACATTCCTAGATCCATTATGACTGAGGATTAGCGGCATCCCTTCTCTTCCAAGAAAGCTCACACATTCTAGCTGTAATTCGTTGAGTTCCTGCTGCTTGAGGTCATAAGTGCTAATTAATGTATTTGGCCAAAGATGAGTCTAATGAAACTAGAATCTCAAAGAGGCCATTGGGGTCACCTAGGGCAACCTCATAGCATAAAGGGAAACCCTAAGGGGTGGCCAGTAAACCTCTACTTGACAAGTGGATGGAGAAATAAATGCTGTAATCCACTTCATTCCATGACATTTAGCCTAAATTTCATTTCTTATCACTTTAGCCTAAATCTCCCTTCCAGTGTTTTATACTTACTGGGATAGCACTACCTTGTAGAAATGTACAGCAAATGGCTGATCGCTCTTGCATAGATAATTCTTGAAATATTTAAGTGAGCTATCTTATTATCCCCAACTCTTAGAAAGCAGAACAGCATGTTGGCTAAAACTTCCTGTTCTATATAAGAATGCCTGAGTTCAAATATTGCTCTCTCATTTGCTGTATAATAACTATATAATAGCTATATAACCTTGAATGAGCCACTTATTGTGTCTATTTTCTTATTAAATGGGGAAGCAGAGATAATAACAGTATCTGACTCATAAGGTTGTTGAAAGGATTAAACAATGTAACATAGGCAAGGGACTAGCACAATATCAGACATACAATTACTCAATAAGTATTAGCTCTTGCTGTGGTGGTGGTGATTGTAATTATTACTACCATTAATATTGGTTTTCTCTCTTCCAAGCACTTCTATTGCCTTCAAACACTTGTCACTTACCAGAAACCTCATCATCTTGTCTGTCCTCTAAATATACCCTCTCCAGAATTAAGCAAATGACTCCGGATGAGTAATGGCTCAAGAAGAGTACTATAGACACTGCTTTGCAAACACAACCTGTGATTCTGCTGCCGTTTTCTGCAACTACCTCCCATAGCCCTTTCAGACTAGGCTGGTGGTCAAACGAATCTCTCAGATCCTGCATGTGAATTGCTTTCCTACCCATCCTTGTGGAATTTCATTTTTAACCAAGCATAGATATAAAAGTTTTCTTGCTAAATTTTTTTCTTATTGGTTTTGTTCACTATTTCAGCCTATCAAAATCATTACAACTGCCCTAAACCTGCCATTCACTCTGAATTTTGCTGAAGGCTTAAGACTTCACTTCACTGCCAGCTCTGTGTCACATGCAGATCTGATAAGGACATTTTCTCTATCTTGATTCTCATATTTGATAAAATGTTGACTAAAATAGGGCCAAGATCAAAGTTTTGTAACTCTTTTCTGGTAATATTAATTAATATCAATAGTAGTTATTGTCATCCAACACATTGTAATCTACAAAATGACTTTAGTACATGTGATCCAAATCAGCAGTCCCCAACCTTTTTGGTACCAGGGACTGGTTTCCGAAAACAATTTTTCCAGACTAGCGTGGTTGGGGGATGGTTTCAGGATGATTCAAGCACATTACATCTATTGTGCATTTTATTTCTATTATTATTACGTTGTAATATATAATGAAATAATTATACATCTCACCATAATGTAGAATCAGTGGGAGTCCTCAGCTTGTTTTCCTGCAACTAGATGGTTCCATGGAGGGTGATGACAGTGACAGATCATCGGGCATTATTCTCATAAGGATCACACAACAACCAAGATCCCTCACATGTGCAGTTCACCGTAGGGCTTGTACTTGTATGAGAATGTGATGCCACTGCTGCTCTGACAGGAGGCAGAGTGCAGGCAGCAATGTGAGCCATGGGGAGCAGCTGTGGACACAGATGAAGCTTCACTCGCTTGCCCACTGCTCACCTCCTGCTGTGTAA